GGTGTTTAACAGAGAAGAGTTACAACGTGCATTAGTTCATTTCACAATTTTCCAAGCTTCAGGTGACCTTGAGGTCAAGAGCAAAGAACTCTCGGGTAAGGATCAATAAATCAGGGCCCAACATCCAAATATGGCCCACCCATATTTTTTTGTAAATAAAATTTTACTACAGTACAGCCAGCCTGCCTGCTTATCTATACATTGTCTGTGGCTGTTGGCCCGTAATAAGTAGTTTTAAGTTCAAACACTAAAATACTCCCTCCCAGACCCTTTGCAGAGGTTGATGGCCTCTGCCCTACTTCACAAAGTTTAAATTACTTAGCCACCATATTTTGACCTTTGAACTTGGATGGGTGTGGCTCTGTGACTTGCCTGGATCTAGGAACTGAACAGGGAGTGCTGTACATCACTTCCCAACAGAACTTGTGGAGGTGTCCCTGATGTATGCTGTAGTTTAGATCTCAAGTGTCCCCAGAGCCCCAGGTGGCCAGCCTTTGCCCCCAGCTTGGCAACACTGGGAGCTGGGAGGGCATGAGAGGAGCCCTTAGGTTACTGAGAGTGTGCCCTCAAAGGCTATTGTGATCCCTAGTCTCTCTTCCTTCATTCCCAGCCAGAGCGTGGATGGGCTTCCTCGGACACACATTCCCACCATGATGCACTGCCTTGCTACAGCCTCAGAGCAACTGTCCTGAATCCTCCAAAACCATGAGACAAAATAAACCTTCTCTCTTTGTAAACTGATTAGCTCAGGGACTTTGGGACAGTCATGGGGAGCGGACTGACACAGCACAGGCCCTGCTTACTAGAACCACCAGGTGGTCAGCTTGGTGTACAGTGACTAGAGATCCCTTCAGATCACAAACCATGTTGAGCATGAATTGAGCATGTTTAAATCCCTGAGATTTGATCATTGTTATGAAAACATAGGTTTTGCTAAGTAATTGGCTTATTCATACATTTTTGTTTTGTTTTTGCTAGAGTTCAATATAAGGTATGTAAGATGTTTAGAACAATGGCTGGCATGTAGAAAGTACACAGTAAATGCTAATTAAAATGATTCTTGTCAATTATTATTAAGAAAATGTGCATTATTTTTCATATATTATCTCATTTTCAACTTCACCGTGCTATTTTTTTAATCAATTCAATGGATGACTTTGAGACTTTCATCTCAGTCCTTGTCAATTATATCCTCCAGAACTTAGCTCACAGTGTGACACAGAACAGGTACTTGGTCATTGTCTGGCCCACATCAACTGAAACTTGGGGAAAAATGAAATTAGGATGAGCTCATATCTGGGGCAGATGCCTTTTCAAAAGAAAGATCACAGATTTATCCATTCTTCGTTCTGAATTTCAAAGATACTCTGTGTGTACGATGTGTGTGTGTGTGTGTGTGTGCATATATATGCATGTGTGTGGTACTGTGAATTTGGTGTTTTTGTCACAGCATGCCTGGTAAGGTCAGACGATTACCTGGACTAGGTCTTTACTTCCTTAGGTGAAGAGTGTCTTGTTCTTTGCTGAATAGGCCAGGCTGGCCAGCCTGTGAGCTTGCTGACAGTCCTCTATAGCTCTGCCTCCCCTCTCACTGTAGGAGTGCTGGGAGTTCAGACCCATGCTGCCATGTCCAGCTTTACAAGGCTCTGGTGATCTGAACTCAAATTCTCATGGTTGTACAGCAAGTACATTTGATGCAGAATATTATTTTAACGTGTGTTACTTTTGTTTATGTTGCATTTGTTTAACTCTGTGAAGCTGTGATTCTTTGCCTGTCTAAAACACCTGATGATCTAATAAAGATCGGAATGGCCAATAGCAAGGCAGGAGAAAGGATAGGCAGGGCTGGCAGGCAGAGAGAATAAATAGAAGGAGAAATCTGGGAGGAAAGAAGAAAGAGCAAGAGAACAAGGAAAAGAGGATGCTAGTGGCCAGTCACCCAGCCACACTGCCAGCAGGAAGTAAGAGTGAAAGATTACAAAAGTAAGAAAAGGAAAAAGCCCAGAGGCAAAAGGTAGAGGTGATATTTTAAAGTTAAGGAAAGCTGGCTAGAAACAAGCCAAGCTAAGGCCAGTCATTTATAATTAAGAATAAGCCTCCATATGTGATTTATTTGGGAGCTGAGTGGTGGGCCCCCCAAAAGAGTAAAGAGGAAAAAACAACAACAACACACATTACCTACCAAGTCATCCCCCCAGTCCCAAGTTATAGCACTCTTTTCTCATCCAGATGTTTTAAGACAAACAGTTTCCCTCTATAAAGAGAATTGATGACAAGCCAACCATCAGTCTAACTGAATAGTTCTGAGCACTGGATACCAGAACCACATTACCTAGCTCTGCTGGCTAGGCGATGCTGGGCAAATGGTTTTAACATCTCTGTTAGTTTAGTTTTCTCACCTGGAGGAGAGTACCGGTTTCATATACTGTGAGGATGAAGTGAGGCAATGGGTAGAGGTGCCACCAGACACTGAGTGAAGTAATGTGATCCCAGCACCCAGGAGGCTGAGGCAGGAGGATGGCAAATTCTAGGTCAACCTGGGCTACAGAGAGACTGTTTCTAAAACTAAAACAAAAAAGAGGAGGAGGGGGATTTACACTTCCAGACCACTGTAACCTGAGGAAAACAGCTGGTGGATGTGCTTTAAGGATTCATGTGTGGGAACAGCTCCTGAGAATGGTAAATCTGGGAAGTGATGCCTGATGGGAAGTTATTGCCCTTAGAAGGAATCAGTGTAGTTCTCATGGGACTGTTCTTAGTTCTCCCTCCCAGCCTGGTGCCATCCACCATGAACCCGTGAGCCATGATGTTCCTAAGGGGATCGTCTCCAGAGACAGGACAAACGAGGCCACGTGACTGAACTCCTAGCCCATAAAACTGTGACCGAAATTAAAAAAAAAAATCATTTATAAAGTATCTGGCCTCTGGTAATTCATTATAGCAAGGAAAATGGACTAAGACATACCGAGCCCTTGACAAATGCTATTATTGTAACTCAGGACATTCAACAGCACTCTGATGCCACCCTAGCACATGATGTCTGTACACCCTTACCTCAGAGGCCTTACCAGCCACTGAACTGTTAACCTATAACATCTACCCCACCCTCCCCACCATTCCCACCGTCCTCACCATCCCCACCGCCCCCACCGTCCCCACCGTCCTCACCGTCCCCACCGTCCCCACCGTCCCCACCATCCCCACCATCCTCACCGTCCCCACCGTCCCCACCGTCCTCACCGTCCTCACCGTCCCCACCATCCTCCCACTTAGAAACTACAGGCTTGCCCCCGAGCTTGGATCCCAGCATTCAGTCTCCTCTAAGTCCGGAGTTGGTCATCCCTGCAGTCTCCAATGTCTGTTGACCCAATTTCCACACTGCCCTTGTGGACCCAGGGTCCTTAAGCATCTTTCTTAAGCAGGAGTGGGGGTGTGGGAGGGAGTGCATCCTGGCCAGACTGAGCCTGTGTATTTTCATCTTCAGGCTTCAGCTGTTGTTGCCACTGACTCATGGGTTAGTAAAGATGCAAGACCGTCACCCTTCCTTGTGACACCTCCTCACACAGCTTGTAACCGGCCAGAGCATGGGTTTCCTGAGGAGGCTCCAAGGGAGGAGCTGCTGTCTGTTTCCTCTGGACTTCCGTCCTCCATTTCTTATTCTCTGAGCTCCTCAAGAACCAAAGTCCTGTGCTTTCTTCCAGTGTGTGTGTGTGTGTGTGTGTGTGTGTGTGTGTGTGTGTGTAAGAGAGAGAGAAATTCTTCACATGGGAAACTGTGAACTCTCTGGCTCGATGATCGGGAAGGTTATTATTTCCCACGATGCACTGTAACTCACACTACTGAGCAATAGCAGAGAGTCAGGCATTCAGCTAAGCTCCTTAGGGGCACTGACTTGCATTATGCTGGCAGTCATCCTGGGCAACGAATGCTTTTTAAAAATCATTATTTGACAGAAAAAGAGACTTCAGCTCAGAGAATAACAACTTGTAGGTGTCAAAGGCAAGATGTGCCCCTGCCCAGCTGACTCTCACGCTGTGCTTTCTGGTGCTTTCCAACCACCCTGAGCGAAAGAGACCTTCTTAAAATGCATCTGCTGACTCAGGTTCAGACTTAGCATTTCTAAACAAAACAAAGCAAAAACCCTCCCATGCTTTAAGTTGTGTTGATCTAAATTATACTATGGCTTGTAGTGGGTAGTTGTCCAGTCTATGACCTTGAAGCACCGCCCCTAGAGATGCAACAGGCAACTACTCCACCTGCCTATGACCTTGAAGTACATGTGCCTGGGGTGTGGCCTCTCGGCGACCCTTAAGACCTGAGATGCACTTAGGCAGGTCTCTTCTCTCACTCGTAAGTTTTTGGAGATGGGACTGAGTCAGGCGACCAGAACAGCATTCCAGAACCTGCAACTATTTTGTTATGTACAATGAGTTTTCACCCTAATAAATTCCTTTACTTGTTAAACAGGCTCCGTGGATTTCTCATTATAATGGCTCCTCCTGACCTATTAGGCTATTCAGTACAATTCTTTCCTCAAAGAATTTCCTGAAACACGATCATGGAAAAGATTTGTGGCTTCAAGTCCTGGGTCTGAATCTTAGCAGTTACCTCATTATCATGACTTTGGTGAACTTGGACTCTCAGAAACTTGGTTTTTTCATCTGCAGGACAAGGATAATGGTGCCACCAATGAATGGCTGCAAAGGAGCAGACATGACAATGCCTTGGGAAAGGGCTCTCCACGCACACCGGAAGCTGCTAGTGTAACACAAATAAAATAGTAGCCAGAAACAGCTTCCACGGATGGAGCATTGATGGGGTCCTGTGTTACTGCCATCCACCCACTTTTCATTCATTTCCTTGATTTTTTAAAAAACCATTCCTCTAAGGAGAAAGTTTGGGGGCCAGGGGACACCACAATTTGTCTTGCCCTATTCGAGACCCTTATTATCTTAGAGCTGGAACCTCATAGAAAAGTCCTCCTGGTATTTGATACTCACAGACTGATTCTTCCAAGCCCCTTCCATCTGTGGCAATTAGATGACCTCAGAGGAAAGCTTGGATCACCTGCAGAAGAGCATTACAAGCAGACAGGAATGCTGAGCAGAACCAGTGCCCACACTGAATCCTCAGCCATGATGGCCCAGCACAGGGAGGGAGAGATGACTTCAGTGGAGACTACTGCCCTGGCAGAGTTGACCTATTTCCCATCAGCCCCCTTGATTTGCCCTCTGCAACACACTAAACATGTGGGCTATGAATTATTTCCTCCTCTTCCCAGCAAATACTGCCCTCACCTAGTCTAAGCCTCCCTGACACTTGGTTTTGAACACCAGAATGTGTCAAAGTGACAGGTTTTAAAATATGGGCAGCTTCTGCTTTCTCCCACTTGAAAGACAGCTTTGGGGAAGGACCTTGAAGGATGGAGGCCATCTTGGTCACTGAAGCTCCAGTCTGTTCCAGGAAAAGGCATTTACATGAGTACTCTCAGCTCCACTGTGTGGAGGGAGAACCATCCCTCTGAGCCCAGGCAGTCTACCCAACGGTGAGAAGTCAGCCATATGCAGGGGTTGTTATTTTAGGGCCCTAAGGCCTAACATATAGAATGGCTTCTGCCCAGCCACTGAGAAACAAACCAGCAGACAGTTCTTGTATCCACAATTTTCTAGTCTCCCCTTCCATTGTACACCCACCAAGTATTTCCTGTGTCAGCCGGTGGCTCCAGGCTCCTTACCAGCTGCACAAACATCACAGGGAAACTTGACAGAATGCAAATTCTCAGCACCACTGCAGCTCAACTGAAGCAGAACTTTCGGGGTCAGGCTAGCAGTAGGTCTGAACAAGCCAGGGTGAGTCTACCAAAGAGCTCAAGTCTAAGGCCAACAGGTATGACCAACAGTTGTCCTCACTGCTACTCATGTTAGATTGCCCATCATCTTTGAAGACAGGCGTTGCTCTGGGCTTACCCCATCCCCACTGGATAGTTTTGAACAACAGATCAGGCCCTGGCACCTGTGATATCAAAAGTGTCCTGTCCTAATTTTGCTGAACAGCCATATGGCGTGGAAGAATTGAAGATGGTTTTCATGATGTTTGGGCCCACTCAGAAAGTGCTTCAATCACGGAGAAAGGGCTCACCAGGGGATCTGGTCACAGTGCAGGCTGATTCGGTGGATCTGGGTTAAATCTGGTATTAGACATTTGTAATAAAGTTATCTGTGGTAACCCCAGAGAACTGACTCCAGGAGATCCATGGGTTTCCAGATCTGCAGATGCTCCAGGCCCCTTTGTAAAACAGCATTATGTGAACATATAACACGCACAGCCTCTTGTGCATTCTTCGTCATCTCTAGATTACTTACAACACCCAAGACAACACAGATGTCACATAATGACTGCTGTACAATAGTGTGTAGGGAATAATGACAAAAAACAAAACAAAACAAAAAACCCCACAAAGCCTGCACATGCTCAGTATGAACACAATCGTTTTTTCTGAATCATGTCAATCTGTAGCTGATTGAGTCAGCATAGCTGGAAATACAGAAGGCTGTGTGCTCACTCCCAGATGATGCTCACTCAGTCTTGCAAACCTTAGTAGGAGCACCAAAGCTCTAGGGAGTCACAATTTTATGTGGAATGTCTTAAAAAGCAGTTGTAAATGACACATCTACACTATAAATGCTTCAGCCCGGGGCCACTACATAAAGTTCTACTGAAGTGGCCTCAATGTCCCTCTTGCAGTCTTCAAGGGAGACTCCCTGTGGCAGATACCATCTGAGCTTTGCCCTAAAAGACGGAAAGAATTTTTGCTCAATAGACACAGAGAATGATGTTCTAAAGCAAAGAGACGGGCTTTTTGTTAAGAAACCCACCAAAAGCCACTCTGGGGACCTGGGGTCTAGCTGGGGGTAGAATAAAAAAAGGGAAAGGGGGTCAGAAACAGTTTGTGGCTAGAATAGGAACAGGTTTGAACATCAGACTAAAACGTCCAGGTTTTCTCCATGGGTCGTAAGAGACGTGGAAGCTTCTTTAGTGGGGGTAGGACACCTCTGTGCAGACACAGCCTGGGGTCCACATAAGCGTGGACACAACTGCCCTACTTTTCATGACAAGATTTATATCCCCAAACAGAGGGATGCCAGGACAACTTGGGGGCCTGGAGTTAACCATGACACACCCAAGTGGTGAGACTGGCCCCTCCTCTGCCTTGCAAGAGGATGTCTTCTGGTCTTTTTGAGGCATTGTCCCAAGGAGGAGGAATGACAAGATTTCTACTTAGAGCAAGCACAGCTCAGCTCACGTGTTCCACTAAGTAATGTTCCCCGTGCTAGGCTGAACACAAAAACGCATGTGATGGAATTAAAAGCTCTACTGCCCGGCTACCCGTGGGCCGCCTGGGTTACTATGGAAAATTCCTGATTAAAGTCAGCAGAAGAATTTCCTACCTAGCGACTGTTATTAATAGCAGCCTCAGCCTTGTGCTGACATTCAGGATTTGGTCCTTTAATGTGTCACTGCACAAGCAGGTGAATAAACCCGCCCCCCTTTTTAAAAGCAAAGAGAATACACCTACCTTTGCCAGGCTGACTACCCTCTTTAATAACCCATGAAGTCCTGATCAGTTAGCATGAGAACAGGACAGCAATCATGAAGTTATTTTAACAGGATTACTAAAAAATTGCTTGAGTCCTCTGTGTGTGTGTGTGTGTGTGTGTGTGTGTGTGTGTGTGTGTAGCACAACACTCTCACTAAACTAATTAAACTCTGTGATGTGTCCCTTTGTCCTTCTTGACATTGTTCTGGTTCACGCTGCTTGAATGCTTGCAGGAGGATTGGTGCCAAGCTCTCAAAGGAAGAACTCAAAACAAAAGCAGGGGTCCAGAGAATTCCTGGCTGGCCAGCAAACTGAGAGCAAGCGACTTCGGATTGGTCAGCACGCTTCACTTGTGATCATATCCTGCCTCCAGGAGAAGATGAAAACAGGGAGCCACTGTTTGGGTTCCAACTCAGGGTGAGCTAGGAAGTGGTATTGTCCTCACCATGACTTCTATTCCACCCCCACCCCAAATCACACTGTTTTAGATAAAGGCACCGACAGGGGCCTCCCATTTTCTATGCCTCTTCTGCTCCATCTCATGATAATTTATGTCTTTCCCGCTCACACTAGCTATTCCCGGAAGCCCCTGGCAGCTTCCTGAGACATCTTTACAGGCAAATGGTTTATTTTGGGCCTGGTGGGGACTAGACAATGATTAATGGATGGGAACTTTGGTTTTCTGGCGAGAGAAGCTTCTTTAGACTGGAGAGACCTTTGGGTATTGATCAGGCTCACATCAAAGCCAAAATGGAAAACAGAGGGTGTGAGTGTGTGTGTGTGTGTGTGTGTGTGTGTGTGTGTGTGTGTGTGTGTGTGTGTGTGACGCAGGCGGGTGGGCACACATATGCCTTGTGTCTGAGCATGAGTACTATGGCCTTATACTCTTTCAAACTAATGTTTCTGCTCCTTTGGAGTTTCAAGGAACACTCCACTTTGCAGCTCTTTAACATTGATGAGGCCATCCTTTACATTTCAAAGAACTGTGGCGCACAGATAAAAACATACAATCCTACTCATTTCCATTTAAAGCACCTTACAGGAGCACCTGCCACATGTGAGATAGTGATGTCTTAGCACGCTTTGGGTGAGCAAGATGAAACCGATAGAGGTGCCTCCCGACTTCAAGGAAATTAGACTGTCCTAATTTAAGAGGGGAATCGGTGTGATGAATGGCAGCCTGCTCACGGTGATAAGCCCTGACATTTCCATTACCAGCCACGATATGCAAAGTGCATGCGTATGTGCCTGTGTGTACACGGTTCGAAGGCTGTTCTTATCTCCTGCCAGTGGCTGCTGGTGGTCTCAGATTGCTTTCCCACTGGTTCCTCCCACTCCATGGAGAGAAAGGCAATCAGCTGGAGGCACGGGAGATTGCCAAGGAGGAGCGAGCCGGGAGACTGACCAAGAAAGCCTGGGCTTTGTGGTAACTTAGACCATGTCAAATGGGAAACAAAATGTCCGTTTCTCAGAACCACTGATGGTAATCTCCAAGGTTCCTTTCTCCAGTGCCCTCGTGGCCAACTCACACTGCCTGTGGCATCCCTTCCTCTCTTGTCTGATGCTTCCTTTCTCAAACCCCATGTGCCTCGTGCAAAGGAGGCAGGCCAGGCTGCAGTTGTGCCTCGCTGTCCTCTGCCCTCGGCCCCTGCCTGGTGCCCCGGCCTCAAGTGTCTCCCGCCCTAGGGCTCTTTGCAGAACTTGTCCCTGTGTAGAGGAGGGGCTACAGGGAAGGGAGGCTACCAGGAAGAGCAGCAACCCCAGTTGGTACTTCCTGTTTTGAAACCCAAGGACTTGTTTGCAATCAAGGATGGGTGGTAGGGGTTGGCAAGACAGTTTCCAGTGTGCCCTAAGGACTGTCTGTGGCATGCAGTAAGCATGCCTGTCAGGGGGCGCTTGAACTTGTTACTCAAGTAACAGTATGCCTCCCTCTATGGGTGTGCATTGTCCTATACACACAGCAACGATGGCGGCATGTGGTGGTCTGACCTGGGGGAGGGGAGGGGGCCTGCTGGTGATGCTGATCGACCTATGAGCTTCCTTCCTCATCTCACAGAGAAGGAGCTGTTGGAACTGAGAACTTTCTGCTTCCTGCAGCTCACCTGAAGTCAGATGCAGGCTTCTTGACCCTGAAACCACAATCGCCAGCGGCTCCGAATCTCGTCTTCCCCATTCATATCCTGGCCTTTCTGCAGTGTCTAGTCCTTCTGCAATCAGTTCAGAATGTAACTCTATGACCCAGGCCTGGGTGGCTAGACTATGACATCACCTGACCAGTGTGACTGGTTCAGGGATGGGCTGTAAGCTAAGCTAGGGGATAATTATAACTCCATCCATTAAGCACTTACTGTGTGCCAGACACGTAACATTCAGCATTTCAGTTGACTCTCCCAGTGGCCTTGTGGGCTGCTCAGCACTCTTATTGCTAGAGGGGCTAAGGAACTTCTCGAAGGAACTTGATAAGGTCACTGTCTGAACCTGACTCCAGGACTCTAAGTCGGGACTTAAGAGTGAGAGTAGACATCAAATAGTCTGTGAGTGTTTTCTTCAAGGAGCTTTTCAGTTTTCAGTACGTGTCTTCCAGTGAAGCTGGCTTTATGGCGACAGAGGCCAGCCAGGGAAAGGAGGAAACTGCAAGGCAGATGGCCCTCTGGAAATTTGGGAGGCCTTCCTCTCCCACTCTCCCCAGCAACATCAGGGCAGCGTGCCTGCCTGCCCCTGTGCTCTCCTCTCCTCTCCTCT